TGTGCTCTTAAATTATTTTGCCGATCTTCCAATACTTTTGTACCCACTTTGCTGGCTGGGCAACTGGCTTCCCAGAAGCATTCACGGAGGGCAGCTAGAGGCAGGATCTTCTCCAGCATAACTGTTAGATGTGCAAGAAACAGGATTGTAAGAAAAACTGTTGTATGTCTTATAAATGGAGATAATTCTGTGGTGAGCTTCTCTCCTCGGAGGGTAATCTCTTAAATAGTAAAGCCAAGGCTTTCTGTAATAAAAGGAAAGGAAGAGACTTGGGTGTACCCCTCTGCTTTCTGCTGCCATATGTTACTGAAGTTAGTTGAGAGAGTCTACATCCTCCATGGACTGCACCTAGTGCAGGAGTACCCCAGTTCTGATGTGGTTTTCTGTGTGCTAAGGCAATTTAGATTAGGTAATGCGGTAATAAGAATGAATTGCCATAGACAATGCCATGGAAAGTAACTTTGTGGACAAAGTTTGTATAATATCCTGGTCCTGCTTTATTCTGACCTGCAATAAAGGATGAGGATAAAAATTAACTTAAACTCACCCAGTCCAGAAGAATCTTTCCATTTCTTTCTGAGTCCTGAGGAATGGGAAGGCCTCCCAGCTGTCTCGCTTTCCTGTTTTATTTGGCCTGATTGCTTCCCCACACACACCATTAGCGTATCGGAACTAGAAGGCAATTTAAGTTACAATTCCTTTTCTTACTTCCTTGGTTTGTGCTATAGACTTGCCTTTCCCTTGTGTTAAAGAGTACCGTTACACTTTAAATGTGGATACCAGCAAGATTCAGAGACCAAGAATGGGAGGGAAGACATTGAACTAGCCCTCATTTTCTACAGTATAAGGTTATGCTACCTCCAGTTATAGGCTCTGGGGAAGTAGGGGATCCCTCATCAAGAAACTTAAGTTAGATTAGAAAATAATAATATTATTTTGACTTATTTATTCCATATGACTCCTTGATAAACATGGGATACTGTTGTTTCTTTGAATTTCTGCATTTTTATTTTTTGGGTTATTCTCTGGAAGTTGAATAAATTTTTATACAAATTTCAGCTCCGATAAAACTAAAAATCAACTGTACTTTCATAATTTCTCCAGATAGGTTTTCATCTAGTATGTCTCATAGATGCTGTTGTTCTCACACAACTGTCCTAATACATCATTTTAAATTTTAATATTTCAAGATATTCTAAATGCAGGGAAGGCTTGGTGTTTATAATGGATTGTACTGGCCAAGCAGTTTTTAGCAGCACTACTTTCAAGTGACTGCCTGCCTAAAACATGTTGAGGGAATAGAAAGTACTCAGCGCGTTAAGCATATTTAAAGCAAAATGAATTCAGTTATAGTAGCATTTAAAGTATTTTGCTACTAACTGTAACTGATGTGCATACATTTCACCTGCAAGTATGTATGTGGGAAGCAGTGGCAGAACTGAAATACGTAAGGAGAGTGAAATGCAAAGGAGACTATTTTACACGTCTTGACTCCTTTGTCGTGAATTTCATACACCCATACTGATGTCACATTCTGGAAGAGGAAGAAGGCTGGCTCCATGTCCATCCACCCCAGCTCTTCCAGTGAGCAAGGCCTCCGCAGCAGGTAAACCAGGCCATATTCTGTGCAGCGTCTCATCAGCTATGGGGGCATAGTGACAGCAGAGAGCTAGCTCTTGCCAAGCCATTGGTAACTTCGAGTCTCCAGGGCCTTTATGCTCAGCTGCACCTCCTTGGTCCCATGCTACAAATTCCACCTGGGCGATCATGCTGGCAGCGTGGGGAGTGCCCGCGCCAGGGCTCAAACCGGGAGGCTGTGCTGCTGGTCTGACAGCAGACCTGTCCTTCTCCTGACCGCCTTATCCTTATTGTTCAGCCACTTCCACGCGGAGCTGCCACCGCCACCGTTATTTCTGCCCTGAAGCCGACTGATTTAGCAGTGAGTTAGTAGCAGACAGCACGCCTCTGCTCCGGCCCTCGGTCAGTTGAGTTCAAGACAGATTTAGCCTGCCCTTTGCCGGGCGGGTGCACATCTGAATCTGTCCTTCCAAAGATAACAGAACTTCAGGCACTGAGATGTTTGGTGTGCTTTCTTTGAGATCTGTGGTTTGGTTGCCAGTAACATTAATAGAGCTGGAATATAAATCATACTGAATGTAAAACATTTGGGCTTCAGTGTGCCGGGCAGATATCCATGTAGAGAGAAGGGCAATTAAATCCTCTTGCATTATAAACCTTATAGAATAAGGCTCTGGCTGAGGTCTTGCACATATGGGAGTTTTCTCTGGTGAAGCCTGATGAGTCGTCGTTCTTGTTGCCAATAATGTGGATAAATAAAAGGCTTAACAATTAGGAAAGAAGGAAAACAAAGATAATACACCTGTCAAACTTTCTGTATTATTAATGTGCAAGTGAAAAAACGTTATGCTTGTGCATGCTGTTGCCCTTAATACCAGCTGTTGCCAGTGCACATGGATTGGTATTTTACACCGGCTGAACAACCTCACTGCCAGCAAGCACTCTAACAGGCAGCATCGATAGCAGCAGTCTTCCCACACTCCATACAATTCAAGCTATTCTTCAAATTAATAATAATACTTAATAAAGCTTCATCTCTCATTTGCAAAGAAAACCTTCAATTAATGTTAATCAGCATCCTCAGAATGTGATCAGGCTGGGCTTGTAGCTGGACGTGCCGAAACAGTTCAACTGGCAGATGGAGCATTTTCCAACTATTCTAATTAATGACTGCTCATTTCAAATGTTAATGCAATTAAATAAATAGGCAAAACAAATAAAAATAATATGCCTTATGAAAATGCCACTATCAGAGAGAGTTCTGATCAAAAAAGTGAGCCTCGCTCAAACCCGGAAAGGGCCCAACCATCCCCTCCTGGCTAAATAAGGTCTAAAAAAGACAGGGCTTGCTTTTGTTACTTGCTTTTTCCAACCATTTCTCTGGGATCGACGTTTATATCGCTTCCATTTTAACCTGCTGGCGTCACCTGAGTCATTGCTTCTCCAAGCATTAGAACATTTCTCTACAGAAAATGGGAAAGGATTTCCTTCACATATTATGGGCTTTTTTTCATGTACGTTTTAGACTGCCCCTTTTCCATTTGAACTAATTGTCTGATTATTTTTTTTAAGGGTTTTACTTTCTGTGAACCTTGTATACCATAGCACTGATGTAGGACCACATTCATTTGGGCTTATAAAGAGTTCAATTAGCCCCTTAATGCCTAGTTCAGTCACAATTAAACCTTCCCTGTTGACTCGGGATTGGTCTTTCTAAAGGCAGTGGAGATGTTTTTAATTATTCATTCTCTGGTTTGTTTCTTACAGCAGTCTCAGCTGTGCTTTATTATTCAAAGGTTAATGCAAACTGAGAACTGGGTAAATTAAATTTGTTTGGCAGCTAGCAACCTGATGTATTATAGACACTGTGAAATATGGATGGCAACACTTCTGCTATTGTGACACTTAAAAAGCCAGATTTTATCTTTAAAACAATTGCTAGTTTTGTTACTATGGCCAATAGAAAATGAATGTTCCATAATGTTATAGTCTCTGTAACCCATTTTTGTTAAGAAAGCATGTAGTTTGGAAAGCCAAGAAGCATTAACAGCTATTATAGAAAATTGATGTAGGTACCATGACTAATGAAGTACACTGTGCAGTACTAAGTCACGCAGTTATATGCAGGGAATCATGCAGTCAGAAGTTTTAATGAAGGGAGCCCAAGGAATTTCAGGTGAAAGAGGGTTTTATTAACTTTCAGTGAACAAAATGAATAGTTGAGCAGTGAACATGACATGATGTCGTATAATAATTGTATGCCTTGGGTACATTGTGAGGCATGGAGCATAGCCAAGAGCTTTCATCTGTTCTACACACAGGGTTATTTCACAAACTCCTGCATGCTGTGGAAATCTTTATTGCAAACATAACAAGAATTGTTTCACAAGAAATGCCTTAAGACAATACCACGTCACTTATTTGAAATATCTACCAGCACTGCCTTCCTCTGAAAAATATTAATCGGATATCTAGAAGTCACCATCCCAAATGATCCTAATTAAAATTCAGGTCCTGTATCAGTGACTGGTATCAGCAGGCTGGGAACCAAAAAAGAAATCTTCATATTCCTTAAGAGGCCACCCTGAGTAAAATATGTATTTCTATGGACAAGCATTATGTTGTATGAAAGAAGGCTGTGTTGGCTTTTGGAAGAGTCATGTCCAAGAACTTTTATTAGTTTTTAATTTGATTTCGTCAGGAACTGACTGTGTGGGTGAGAGATTTTTCTTGTTTCACATACAGGATTATGGTTTGTACATTTTAAATATTGTTGCAGTACTGTGTTTTTAAACGAGGACTTTGAATTAACATAATCCAACAGTTTAACCCACTTCCTGTTTATAATATTTTTAAGGTAGGGTAACAATTGCAGAGTAAAGCAGCCTTCTGTACTAGTGACTGGAGACCTTGGGTTAGTAACTTAGAAAGTGCAGCTGCAAGGTCGTTTGTACCCTGCTCAGTCTTTAGTACAGTCTGTGCTGTATAATAATAATGTGTAATTATACTGCTACTGACTGATGAGGTAGGTGGATGAGGAGATAAGTGAAAATAGGATGGCTTGTGAGGCAAGACAGTGACAAGACATCTCAGCAAAGTCTCTGTATCCTTGCACTGTAAATACTTCACATCTGCCCACTAAAATATTTGACATAAGACAGTCGGGAATTTTTCTGTGCTTATTTGAATAATTTATAATGTGATTTTAATACTTCATCCTGGCTGAATATATCACTTCGCTGACAGAGCTTAGGACACCAGTTACATGTTTTATCCAGGACTAACTTAATGAATGTGATGATACACAATTTCAACTTGTAGTGTTACTGCAAAACCAGTGATACTACTAGTAGAGTGTAACTGATGCAGTATATTCTTGATTGTATGTTGTTATTATGTTATATTTTTGTTTTCTATTTTAGTGCTGGACCCAAAGGAGACAACATTTATGAATGGAGGTCAACTATACTGGGGCCTCCAGGGTCTGTATATGAAGGTGGAGTTTTCTTCCTTGACATTACCTTTTCACCGGATTATCCTTTTAAACCACCTAAGGTTAGTAGGAGGATATTAAAAGTCTGATAGGAGTCCTCATGATATTTTTTAATGTGTATGTTGGCATATCATTGTAGGATGAACTGTAAAACTTTCAAGGCAATAATGAATATTTAAACTGAGTATTTGGATGTGAAGAATTTAAATAACTGCCTAAAATTTGCCTGCATGTTGCTGGTATAGCTGGATGGATACGGATTTATTTAGCAAATGGTTGCATAATTTCCAGCAGTTATTTGTTTGATTTGGATTTGTTTCTAATATGAAAGCATTTATATTGGAGTTGTACCCCTTTATAAGCAGCTGGAGATATTTAATCTTTCCTATTGACCCATATCATTCATCAGGGGTCTGTGGCAGTCTGACAAAAATATGCACCTTTTGCAGTACCCCGTATAAATTACTTCTGCAGGTGCAAGATACACTATTGTTCATGAAGTTATAAGTAATTGCTTTACATCAGTTTTCTAGAATAATGTGGAAATACAGCAGCAAAGGCAAGAAACTGGAGTGAAAGACAGAGATTTACAGAATTCCTTACAGATTCATTTTCTAATGCTGTCAATAATGACGCTAACCACAGACGTAGAACTGTACTAACAACACGAAGGTGGCCAGTCATTACCATGGTCGAATAGGCTCAGAATGTCAAACAGAAAAAAATCTAGTGATTCTGAAGACTGGAAAAACAGAAATGGGATGAATTGCGGTAGTGCAGAGTGGCATCGATAACCAGTAGCAGTAATTGAGGGAGGGTGTCAAAATGAGGCTTTATTGGGTGATCACAGGATTATTACAAACCACCCATCTAATGCATCTATAAAAAAAGCAAATACACTCCTAAGATGCATCCTCTGGCATCACCTGTAGAGATAAGGAATTACAAATGTCATATAAAGACACTTGCAAGACCTTATCTGGAAGACTGAATGCAATTCTTAACATACGTGTTCGCTAACAGGAACAGAAACTGGGAAAATTTACCCCACAGGGCTGTTAATAGAATCAAGTAAATTGATGCCTGTCTTTTATGAAACAAAGTGAAAAGAGGTGAATTGTGCACCTTGCCAGTGTGGAGAGTGAGGGTCTAGAACAGCTCCCCAGGAGGAGCTATGGGAGCAAAAATATTTACCTTCTTTTTGACATATTTGTGAAAGGGTTGGTATGCCACACTGGTCTATAATAGAAAAGTATTGCATTAAAAGAGAGAGTAGCTGATTCCTATTTGATTACCATGAGTATACTATTGAAAGAGAGGTCTTTCTAAACAGAATTTTAATGCCACAGTAGTAATGTTTATAGTAGTTAACATTGATATTATCAGGAAAAGTTTTAATAAAAGAATGAGAGATGTGAATTCAAAGTACTTGTCATTCTGTAAATAGGACTTTCCCAGCCAGTCACCTAAAGATGGGTCAGTATAGCAGTATTAGAGGTAGTCTAACTTTGTTTCCCAATTTTAGAGTTCCAGTTTAGGGAAGCTTTGAGGTCAATGACAAGTCTTACAGGGGTTGTACACCTTGCTGACTGCACATTTTCTGATTAGGTAACTGTGATTACACAGTGAAGAAAGAATTTGAAACTTTATAACTTCTCCTTCAGTTAGCTAAAGCTTTGGGCACGCTGAGCTGGGGTGATGCCCTAGTCTTCCTGCCTCCCACCCAGCCCAGGCCAGTCCAGACTTCTTACTTGCTATACAAGGTCTGTCTTAACAGGACCCTTTTGTTTGCTTCTTTGCTGGGCTTAGTCTCTTTGTAGTAGCTGTAATGCAATGGTTACATTCAGTCCACCAGCAAATTAAAATTATATTATTTAGGGGATATTGGCATATCCACCAGCTGGATTTATTGAGTATAAAATGGAGCTTGAAGTTCTCTAAGAGATCCAAACCTAATATGTGAAGAACTAGATGTGAAATACAAGTTGGAGGGATGTCTTTTGTCATTCTCTCTGTTGAATCTGTTAAGTCTTGAGGCAATATATGCAATAGGCATCCTTTTAAAAGAGAAGGTGAAGGTCCAGTTTGCTGTTTCACCACGAGGTAAAGATTTTTTCAATCCACACTCAGTTATGTTTGGTGACTGTATTATTTTGAGATATCAGTAATTCAGCTGTGCATTGCTTATTAATGAAATATCAAGCAAAGAGGTGGTTCTTGTCCTGCTTTGTAACAGATCTTTTTGTCTGCCTTTATCTTGATGCCAGTTGTCATTGTAAGAAACGTGTGCATATAAATCACACGAAAATGTACTGCTTGATAAAGGATGAGAGAGCTGATGATGCCATATTGTATTACTAAAAGGCCAGTATTTATGATGACGGAAATTGTTATCTGAAAGAAAGTAATGAGTACATGTGCACAGGTGACTAATGTCAGATATGACCGACTATGTTGCTAGCGTATTTTGTACACATGGATTCTTATTCTATTTACTTTGTCCACTGTTGTAAATGACCCCTATTTTCAGCCGTGCTGTAGGATCTCTCAAACGGTTGCTATTTCATTACACCTATTTTCCAGACCCTGTGAAACTGATTCAGAGGTAAAATAGTTTGGGAAATCCCTTGAATAAAGCAGCGTGGGAAGATGACTGCTTGTCATAAGGAAGCTGCTACCAGTTGGTAGTGTTGGAAAATGGTGGTTAAATATGTTCTCCACACACTTGTTTCTAGCAAAAGAAGGGTAGTGAGTATGTGGAACGTAACATATGGCCTCACAATACGGTGCTATCTGTGTCACTGCGTGTTGACATCTCTTCTACTTCACCACAAGATTTGTGATACTTGGTGCTGTTCTCAAAATCATGGGTCCTAGGGTTATGGGAACAGATCATCCTAGATTTTTTTCTGAGTATAGTCCCACTCCTTATCATCTTAAAAAATCTAGAGATAAAGTACAAGACTGTGGAATGTACTGAGAAAGACATAAAATGTATTCCTGAGTGTTGGCAAGATTACCTCCCTGTAAGTACATAGCAGAAAGGGTCTAATTCACATTTCTCACTATGATTGAATTCATACATTACTCCTGAGATTTCTGTGGGCCATTTTCATCCCTCTTTTACTATGAAGTAAGGAAACATTTACATGAGTACTGTCAAAATTGATCTTCCAAAAATGTGACCGCAAAAGACCTGGGAAGAAACAGAAACTGTATTTCCCAGATGCAATTACTTGACCCAGCCTGAGGTTCCAAAGGCAAATGCCCATATCAGTTAACATAGTTACTGTTAAAGGGCCTAATCCAAAGTGTATTAAAATCTGCAGAAAGATTTCCACAATCCCTTTTCCTTATCTATGCTCAGATGTTATGGACTCTGTTATCGTGCATGTGTATGTTGCACATGGATGTTGGGAAGGGTAAAATAATTTTTAAAATAAGAAAAATATATTGAAAGTGGATTCTGGATAAATATCTTTTATTTTTATTATTATAATTAAAATACATTTGTGGTGTAACCATTGTTTGGTTTGTATTATACAAAGTTCTCTATGTTTTCTAAAGGATCCAGATTCCTTCTATAAACAATGTTGATGCCTATTCTGATCATTTAGTACCTTGCTGCATATTGGAAAACATTAACTAAAATAAAATTAAACATCTGAGAGGACATTCGCACGTGAAGAAAAGATGTTTGGCCTATATTTGGGTTTTTTTTAACGAATGTATAAAGTAATTTTCATTTCTTCTAGATAGTTAACCTGCTTTCCCACCTTATCACGTAGAAGAAATTGAATCACTGATTCATTCAGGTTTTGTTTAAACAAAGAAAAAGTATCTATCCAAAACTTTCATTTTTATGTATTTCTTCAGTTTTTACACCTTTGTAGTCTTCAACATCACATCCCCTTAAGATTTTAAAGTTTTATCTCTATTCTTTACATCCTCTATTTATACTGTGTGGTCCAGTTCACATTCCTCATTTTGTACAGCCAAGCACCACTGCCATCAGGTTTCCCTTCCAGTCTGCACCAACCAGTCTTTCCCCTGCAGGTCTGTCTGTCTGGTTCTTTTTGTCTGTCCTTACCTGTCAGTGTCTCTAAAGTTAAGCCATAAGCGTAATATCAAACTAAGTTATTCTTCACCAAAACGGAATATACCATGTGGTAAGTCAGAGTATAATTTGCTGTCGTGATATTCATTTTTTCCCCCTTTGAAGTCAGTCTATTTCAGTCTTTCGAACTTTGTCTTATGCCTTGAAACTGGACTCCAGATTTTCTGAGCCAGAGGTTACTGACCCTTTCAGCTCTGCTTTCCTTTTAAATCAATGGCATTTGGCTTCACTCACAACTGCAGCACGCTCATGCAGAGGAGGGAGTTGTTCTTCCCCAAAAAAGTTTATCTACGTGTGACTGATGCAGCCTGAATAGGAGTGATGGAGGGCCATCGCTGCCTAACTCCAGTTTATCTCTACAACCAGAGAACATGATTTTTAGAACAGCTCATCTGAGAACTGACAAATTAGCTTTGGCTTTCTGGGAGGCTCTAATCAATTAAAAATACTTCCTCGCCTCCACTGTGAGGAAGCTTCTGTAGCACTGCGGAAATTAGCTGAGCACCCAGTTGGCTGAATCAGCAAGAAAGCGGGCAGCCTGCAGAATCGCCGTTCTCTTTTCAGCTGCATCCTAAGTATCACGTTGGTTTTATGAGATGCCAGACAGGAGGAGGGTATGGAACAGACAAAGCGAGGCGTAGATGTGGATGTGATCTCACCTTCTGCTAAAGGCCAGATGCTGCTGAGGCTTCAGTCTTGGTCACAAGGTGAGGTTTCACTTCAGCCCCAAAATACAGCATCTCCCTTGTGGTGCCATGGGCTGAAGAACAGAGAAAGCTGTGCCCTGTTCAGAGCAGCCACTTAAAGAAATGAATAAAAATACTTAGATGGCCTGCCAAGGAAATAACCTTACATTTCTCCAGTGCCTCAGTGACCCCTCAACCATTTTTAGAAATACCTTTGAGATTTCTTTTTCCTGCTAACTATCTTCCTTTCATCCTTAAT